TAATAAACCGAGTAAAAAAAAAATTAAATCATATTTCTATGAATATTTCTAATAATGCAAGGTGCCACATATATGTATATATATATATATATATATCAGTGTGTGTGTGTATTTTGAAAAATAAAAAATATTAAAATTTTCAGACACACTGGTTATATATTAACATTTTTTCCTTCATTATTTCAATTAGGTTCCTCGACTAGTTTCGGCCAGAATGGTCATCATCAGGAGAAAAATATGCGCTTGTTAGTAGAAGCGAAGTACAGGAGTGAATGACTGTCTTTGAAAAAAGAGAACTTTATGTTTAGTTGTCACTTATATTTTATTGTTAATTTTGGTCAGTCCTTATGTTGTTTAAAAGACCTCTTTCAAATTATTTTTAGGATGGGAGATTCCTGACTTTCAGAAATCCTTCCTTGGTCATTTTATTGGTTGATGGGAATGGGATGTGTGTGTTACATGTATGTTATCTTTTAGTTTTGGGGGAGTGTGTGTGATGTGTGTATGTGTATATTTTTGTTAAAGTGTATGTATTAGTGTGAGACCTTAGTACCTCTGCAAGCATGTCTATGTTGTGCGAGTGTGGAATGTGGGTAGGGCTTGATGTATGGGGTTATATACTAATCCTGTCTATGTTAAATTTCAGGTTAAGTAATACGTAATTTATTGACATTTGGAAAAACGTTCATGAAAGTATATTTCGAAAATTATATTCGATAATGCATTTCGACTCTAATGGTTTTATCAGATGAATAACGAAAAATGTATTTGTAAACATAAAAGCTGTTTGAAATAATTAAATCTTTTATTATTTTTTCCAAGCTAGCGTTGCTCGTAACTAAAAGAGAAAGAAAATATGTGACTTTAAAATAGTCGTGCAACATTTTATATTTGACACTTTTAATAAATAGAATATAAACGTTAAACGTTGTTGTCTTCTAACATAAATATATATATATATATATATATATATATATATATATATATATATATATATATATATATATATATATAGAGAGAGAGAGAGAGAGATAGATAATAGATAGATAGATAATAATACTAGTGCTAATTATGCACATAATATGCAAAATATATAAATACTATATACATGTATATTTTTGAATAAAAATTCAACAGAGATAGAATCCAAAATTAGAACTCAATGTCTATTTTATTAAATATATAAAAAAAACAACATTTTACTAATATTCCATGGAATAAAAGTTTTTTCTTTTTTCATATATATATATATATATATATATATATATATATATATATATATATATATATATATAAAAAAAAAGGCTTAAACACTAATATTCCATGGTCATAATTTATTCCATTGGAATCGTAAATACGATCAATTCATTAGACCTATAAATTCAAAAAAAAACAAAAAACAACTCAGGAAATAAAAAAAAGATTTTTTTTTTTGATACGCCCAAATTTTGAAATGTTACTTATTTAGATTTTAAAATATTTTAATTATATATATATATATATATATATATATGTGTGTGTGTGTGTGTGTGTGTGTGTGTGTATATATATATATATATGTGTGTGTGTGTATATATGTGTGTGTGTGTACTTAGCTGTCTGTGTATGTGTGTATATATGTGTATATATGTAGGTGTGTGTATAGAGGTATATGTATGTATATGTATGGATGTACATGTATGTGAAGGATATATGTATATTTATATATACGTATATGGATGTATGTATATGTAGATGGAATGGATATATATGTAGATGGATGTATATGTAGATGTGTTAATATATGTGTGTGTGTATGTTTTGGTATGTATGTATATATTTATATATTTATATGGGTGTATATGTACGTATATAAGTATGTATATATAGTTAGACGGATAGATACAGGGATACATTGTTTATTTGTTTAAATGGGTGTATGTAATTGTATAGAAATGTAAGGTTTTAGGTATATATGTTTATGTGCACGTATGCGTATGTCCGTATGTATATATGTGGGTAAATGTGTATATATATATATGAAGGACTGGATGCGGATGGATGTATGTGTGTATATATGCATGTATCTGTGTGTATGTATTTTTGTATATTTTTGCTATATATATATATATATTTATATATATATATATATGTGTGTGTGTATATATGGATGTGTATGTGTGTATATGTATGTGTATATATATATATATATATATTCTGTGTATATGTATGAATGTGTATGTGTGTATGTATATATATATATATATATATATATATATATATATATATATATGTATGTATGTATGTGTGCATGTGTATGTATGTATATGTATGTGAAAAAAATGTGTATATGGATATAGATGGATATGTGTATCTGTGGATATGTGGATATATTTATATATGTGTGTACATGGGTATATGTGTGTGTGTATGCATATACATACGTGTATATATTATTGTTAACTGAATGAACATAAAATATATATAGGTCCTTGCTATTTTAGATAATCGTTTCATATATTTATATTTGATTTGTAACCTGGAGTCGATATTAAATTTGTCAAATTTTCTCAATTACACAGTTGCCCTTTCAGTAAATGTCCTTCAAGTTTACTTTCCTTCGTTTATCTCTCTCTCTCAAATCTCTTCTTTTCCTCCCTCCCTATTTCTGATCTTCAACATTAGATCGTCTATGGTGTGTGTATGTCACCACGAAATGTATCTTTATGCATTAGACATCCGACAACATTCATATTTCTCTTTTAAACCCCTTTCACTCACCTCTCCTAAAATTCTCTCTGTTAAGGTTTAATCTCCCTCCTTCTCTAGTATATTACCCCTTCATACTTTACTCTCTCTAAATTCTGTTTTTTTCCACTAAGTTGTTTTTTTTGTTTTTCTTTTTGAATTTGTAGGTCTAATGAATTGGATCGTATTTACGATTCCAATGGAATAAATTATGACCATGGAATATTAGTGTTTTAGCATTTTTATTGTATATATATATTATATGTTTATATTTTTTTTATTTTAAAAGAGAATCTATTTTTTTCATCTAGCTTTTATTGCAAGGTAAATCTAAGACCATTTTCTAAATATTCATATTTTCTTTCAAATTTTTTAC